AAGATATTACTCCACTTGCGATACCGTCATGATTCGAATTCCATAAGATTATAGCATTAACTAGCAGCGTATTAATCATCGATCGTCGTCATAGTAAGTGAACTTTTCGTAAAGAATTCGGGGCGTTTGATCTTTTTTAAAAGCACGCGCCGCAGTCAAGTCTAATAAAGCCTTCACGCGAACTCATTCATTTAAGAGTCGGCTAAAAATAGAAGAATGGACGTATACTGAAGATATTTCAATCCGTGACCGTGTCATCGGTTACTCAGCGTGGAAGAGTTCGAGGATGTGGGCAGTTCTTGCGAACCATTCGTCATTCGAGAAGATCATAGCGACGATTATCAATCTACTTTATATTCGTGAGCTTCGTTCTAAATAAGAAGAAATGTTCTTTCGGTGCTTCGTGCTTAATCAACGCTTCTGCTTTTACTGCGCGACGCTCCGGGCTTTAACCCGGTCAGTTTATCAGAGATCGACATATGTCTCTCTCTCTCTCTCTCTCTCTCTCTCTCTCTCTATACTCGTTGAAGGTCGAACAGATATCGTTGCCATGATAAGGCCTATATTGTATGGGATTTCATTCTTCCTACACTGGAATTCGGGATTTTAGTAACAGGTCTTTCTTTGAGAAGGTAAATCAAAGAAGTAAAGGCATCTTCTTAACCTTTCAGGGAGACTTCCGCCCCGACCAGCGGACAAAGGTCCTATCCCATTGTTCTATGATTTACACCAGCATCAGCTCAGATTCAGGTATATTGAAACGAGTTTTTAGTGAATTTCGTCCGTACCATTGGCACCGACACTTGTCACTTTAATAATTAAATGAATATCCCGATTCACCTTCGTCTATGCATCAATAGGAACATCACTCGTTTTTTTTGTTAGTGTATATGCACGCGTGCATATACGCGTGTGTGTGTTTTAAGTGAGTTTCTTTAAAATGACTTTAAAAAGACGAACCGTGTAAAGGTAGTTTAACACGGATGATACGGATTAATTTAGATAGGCAAAAACGCTTTGTATCAACTTTCAGAGACATCGGTACTATCAACAAAACTGAATGAAGCAAAAGGAATGAAAAGTCTAACGTCTATGAATATTAATTAAATATTATAGTTATCATGTGTTAATAAAATAATGAAATTGTTAATGCTCTTCTCAAGTTAAATAAATTTTATAATTATTATTATTATTCTAATTGATATAACAAATAAAAATTTTGCATTTATCTATTTATGTAAATATGACTAAACAATTAGTTGCAAGTACGTTTATTGTTTTCTTAGTGAGATAAAAAGATTAAAGAGTTGTCTATAAAAAAATATTGGAGATCTCATTATGCTTAATAAAGTCTCATAAAGCATAATTAACTTGCATGTTATGCGAGACAGGATTTTACAATGCGTGCGTGCATCGAAGGGCCATTGCCCGTAAGATACGATCCTAAAAGGCGCCGACGTTCTCCCACGCGATGCCTCGTCGGTGTTCGATGAATTAGGCTGTTTGGAGTAGGATTTGGCGACACGTAGTCGGAACTTTAGGAACAACCGAAAGGGACGGTGGACTGAATCTCGTAAAATATAAAATAGCGAGACCCTAATGTTTACTTATCGGTTAATCGTCTAGCGTATAGGAAGCTAATTAAGGTAACTTGATAATAATTTAGGAATTAACGGTCGCTTTTTCGTTGTTCACTATCGACTTTAATTTTGTGCATTTCTCTAAAATATTTAAATTCAGAAAATATTAATATTTAGTGTATAGAATATTTCGAGGGATTTTTTATTACATCATGTAATTTATTTTTTAACGAACGTACAGTTCTATAATTACAGTAAAATAAATATCGTACGCAGACTTCATTTAGTTCTATAATTGTATTTCTGATAAAGGATTTGCACGTTTCTTATGGATATTGGTCCTCGGTCAAATCTTCTCATATTTTGGGAAAGTAGGGTTTTGTAGTTCCAGGTGTCCTGATTAAAAATGCCAATGGGCGCGATCTTTTAAAATTAATAGTCTTCGAAATATAACTGTTCAAACTTGGTTATTCTATTATTTTGAATATTAGTCGATCTATAAACAATCTCGGTCCCACTTGATCCTATAGATTTGAAAAAAAATATCTAGATGAATTTATAACATGCGAAATAAGGCTGCCACAGTTGCATTCCGCTTTGCGATCTCAATTATCTCAAAAATAAATGAGTAATATCATGTGAATAAAATCAGTGTGCATACATTTTTTTACTTTTAGATGCGCTCATTGCATTTGCCTACAGTATCGTTTGCTCACATCACTTTTGCCTACAGTTCGATTGCATACATGTATTATTGCCTACAGCTCGATTGCCTACATGTTTAACCACGACCCTAACCACGACACTACCCCCGACCTAACCACAATCTTACCCTCGACCTTATCACGATCCTACCTCGACCTCCATGTATTATTGCCTACAGCTCGATTGTCTGCGAGCACTTTTGCGCACAAATCTAAAATTAAAGTTAAGTTAAATACAAAATGTTGAGTTAAATAAGAAAATGATTTGTATTGGTGAATGTTGACAACAACGAAAACAGCGCTGTTCATAAGAATGAATGTTCATAATGGTACTCTGGAGTACCAAAGCATGTGCAACAATACAATTATGGAAGTTGTACCCCTTTGCAGATGGAAGATAGGGTTTAGATAGTCGCTTTGCGCAGAAACAGAGGAAAATACAAAATATTACTTAATGGCAAATAAAATGCATATAAACAATCGAGTTGTAGGCAATAGTATATGTAGACAAATGTGATATTTCGTTTATGAAAATTTTATATGTACGCAAAAGTGCTTGTAGGCAATTGAGCTGTAGGTAATAATATATGTAAGCAATCGAACTACAAGGAAAAGTGATGTAGGCAAACGATACTGTAAACAATAGATTTGTAGGCTCCCCCCATTGACACTTTTAATCAGGAGACCTGAAACTACAATTTCTCAAAATATTGGAAGATTTGACTAAGAACCAAAATCCATAAGAAACGTGCGGGGTCCTTTGAAGTCAATTTTTTTCGATAAGAGATTTGAATTCTTTTTCGCTGACTTTGAAGTGTCAACATTAAATATTTTTACAAAACAAGTTTTATCAACATTGCATATCTTAGCAAACAAGTTTCAAATTACAATTTGCTGCTTGCATTCCTGAAGATAATTTACCAGCGTCCTAGTTATCATGACACTATTAAATGTATGTGTTGCATGAAATGTTGTACAATGCAGACACTATCGCTGCTTATCTTACACGCCGTCGGGCATCATCTCGGATATTGAAACCGTGTTGAACACGCATTTAATAGCGCAGCGTAAGCAAAAGCGCTGGAACGCGTACTCACTCGACGAATGCTGATTCCTCGTCGTTATCAAGACAAAACGAGCGACGCAATGCGACAATGGAGACAATCGTGCGTGACCATATACAATACAGGCGAATTAATCGGCACGCGGCTCGATTGATAATTAATTATCTTGTTGCGCTAGGCCATCAGGCGTTCGCAACGCTACATTCCGACATCAGTGTCGCGTTCTCTCTCGCGTCGTGGAGATGAGCCGCGAATTTTTTTTCCTTCCCCTCTTATCATTCTCCATACGTCGTTGGCATTTCGATCTCCTTCGCTCACGTAGCGCTGCGGGCGGACGGCACAAAATCCGCATGTGTTTCGCGAAAAGGTCCTTGAATGCCTTTTGAATGGTGCAACATTCGATATTCATTGAAATATATTAAAATAATCGTGCCGTTGACTCACTTAGGAAAACAAACCTCGGGCTCTCGACTTGCGGGGATTGCGTAACCGCCTGCTCGTCACCGAACGCGTACGAGTGCGACGAAATACCACAGTCGATACAACTTACACTGTAATTTATACACCGCCTGGTCGTCACATCCCGAAGGCGAAATGAAAGTAATAAAAAGAGATAAATAAATCGCGCGCGAATGGCGCGAACACGCCGACCTGCCTGTCGATGGCGGCGAGAAATCGCGTCTTCTTTCACGCGCAGCACTTTCAATTCGCGGATTGTTCAGCTGTTATAAGGTGACCTTTACGATATTGTGCGCCGAGTGTTGCTTGATGGTTCAAAAATGCGTGTGCACGCGAAACGTCCGGACAGTGATCGTGCCAGGTGCGGAAGAAAATATTTCCAGAACTAAGCCATTCGTGAAGAAAGAATAGTGCAACGGTAGCAAGATTTGTGTCGAGATATCACGGCCATGTCACCCATGCTTTCCAAGCGCTCAGAAGACACACTGACTCCCGAAGCTAGTTTATCAAGCATCAAAAAGATAATAGTTCAGTTTGCCAAGAATGTAAACCTGATAACACTTTGAAAGTGTTGAGTGTGACAACAAATTAGAACGCTGAGCGGGAGGGGAAGGGTCAGTTGATGGTGAAACGATGACAACGAATAGGAAGATGACTAGGAAGAATTCGGTTATAAATCGAAGAAATCAGCAACACAAGATGCATCTATTTTTAGTTAGATTAGTAGAAATTCCTGTTAAAGCACGGACAGAATTGATGAAAGTTCAAGTGATCGTTCAAAGACGCGTTGAGACAGGTGGCTCTATTCCACAAAATTACTTCTAGGATTACAACATGCCCGACAGGGCAATGGTACGCAAGGGTTGCTGCCACGTGTTTCGTCATGAAATCGCCGCAACCTTTTCCCCCAGCTGGGCTAACGCGTTTCCATATCATTTCACTATAAAAGAGAGTACGGTGCGTGAGGTAGAAGTAGGGTTGCGCGGCAAGCGGGGGCGTTCGTTTGTGGAGAACACGCCGCGAGAGGGATAGGAGGAGGGATAGGGAAGAGAGCAGGCCGATGGAGGGGCAGCCTCGTGTACGATACGAGTGGAGGGGTGGCAAGAAAGGGGTGGGGGTACGCTCTAGTCGAGCGACAGCGGCAGGGAAGCGGCCAGGTAAGCAACGAGCGAACACTAGTGGGGCTGACTTGCGCGCCTTCGAGCCGTCGGGATACACGGCAGCAGAGGCACCGTTGTTGTATACTGTCGCGCTACGCGTGCTACAGTCGTGTTCGTCGCATCATTGTTGCCGTCGTCGTCGCCGTTGCCGTCGTCTTGGAGCACCCTAGGTGGCACCTTCGCCATTGGCCTCATCGGCTTATGTCTTCTTGCTCCTTCGTACGAAGGAGGGTTGATCGCTCGCCGTGTTAAGAGGGGCGCGTTCTCACATGAGTTTACCGGAGCATCACGGAGCAGCGGCGTTCGGCACTTACCCTCGCCAACCTCCGATTGCAGTGTCGCCGACTCCTCGTGACGATAAAATTGGCACGTTTCCAAGCTGGCGAAGCGAAACTGTACAGATTGCACAGCACTACCGCCTTGCTGCTACTTTTATCCGCTGGTCTCCAGTCTCGAGGATACGATTACGCGGCCTTATCGTTACTTCGGGGTTTACTCGCAGTGCAAATGGAAAGAGCAATTTCGCGCGAACTGAATGAACTGCGCATAGTCGACTGGAAGTAACTTGGGAATATAGAGTCGTGTCTCGTGAAACGTGTCGCACGTACCTGTAGCTGCTACGATCACGTTAGTTGATTGATACCTGTGCAGCAGGTAAGCAGTGTCGCGTATGCAACAATTTGATGCATCGGTGCAGCGCAGCGATGACTGCTTAGTTTCGGAGTACGAGTTTCGAAGTGTTCCCGTTACCTTTTATCTTTCACATATCTCGAACGAAGTGAACGTAGGGTGAACGATCAAGTGTTGTCGATCAGTCTCGATCGATCGAAGGGATAGTAGTGTATGTTTCGCGCCACGAAGGGAGCAAAGTAATAAAGGAACAGCGGCGTCGTTAGATGCGAGGATTTTAAAAGCAGCTCCTGGAGGCCAGCCCGACGCAATGCGTCGACGCTGCTGACGCAAACGCGCCTGGATGCGTCTCACTTTTAGCACGTGAGTGTCTTTTTAATCAAAGAACCGGAAAGAGAGAGAGGGGAAAGGAAACGCGAAAGGGTTACAAAACGCGCAATTCGTTCATCTATTGGCATTGTCCCGCCGGATTATCACGAGGAGGCTCTTGCCTCGCGTATCTCGATCGAGTCGTGCGCGAATCGATCGAGTTAAGATGATTCCGAGGGGATTGGATGGAAGGACGATCTCAGCATCCCCGCCACGTTATACTGACACTTGAGCGTTCCCCTCGACCTGTATACGTCGTTTTCCTTTTTTCTCCACGTAGCAATTCGTGTGCCCACTTGCGACGAATATATTCACAGATAGAAAAAAGAAAATTTATTCTCCTTGTGGTGGCCTGCGTGTTGGTGCGGTGGCGGTGTTATTATTGTTCTTCTTTGGTGGTAGTAAGTGGTCGCGAGTGCGCACGCGACGACGACGGTGGTGAATGATCCTGGCTCCGAGCTGATAAAGGTACTCGTACACGAATACTGGGATGACGTCCGCTTCGGATCACGCGGTTCCTTCACGATCTCGTCAATCTACGTCGTCTAACGCGGAAACAAATGTAAGTTTCCACACGCGAGATCTCGTCGCGACGTATCGGAATGCATTTCGGACTTGGTCGTTAAAGTTGGCATGCACCTTTTTGGCGACGGGCGAACGATGAGGTGTGAACTGAGCAGCAAGCTCACGTATGAAATAAAATTCAAATATATGCAATTCAGTAATTTTAAAAAACGATGTTATATTAGATTTTACTTTAAATTTTATGTTATGTATGAACAAGAGAGATTTACAGATATTATATATCAGTAGTAATATTAAGTATTTGCTATAAAATGTATTCTGAATTTAATATTGAAAAACAGTAATTAATTATTTATTTTAAGTGTTACAAGTACCATTGTTTGTACCATTGCTTTCTGTATTTCAAAGATGTAATTAATTATTGTTTCAATTTCAGCAATAAATTAACCAGTATTAGATTTTTGTAATGATATTTTGAGCAAATTTATTAAATTATTTATGTTTAAACATTTGTTTAACGAATGTGCTCCTCTGCTCTTTACAGTTCATGGCTTATCGTTAGTCAACGTGCGCGTGACTTAAAATCACCACTTTATCGATTGAATTGTTTATTACAGTACGATAAATGCCACGGATTTGCTTGAGATCGTCCATCTATTAAACTCTTTATGATAATAATAATAAAATATGATAGAAATCCGATTAAAACATATTTTATTCGACTAAGAAATGTATTGATTGTAAAATATGGAGGAGTTAAATATGGAGGATATAAAAAGATCTTTCTTAAAATTGTTTGTGAAGTTGGATTTGTTTCCTAAAAGACCCAGTTTGAGACCCATAAATATTTTCTCGAAATGACATCAGGTAGTAAAACGATAAAACGGGCTTTGGCCTAAAAAAAGCGCGTCGTTTTAAAATGCAGTTATGATCAAATACGGTGAGAGACAAGTCGTACTTCGCGAGTATGACGATGCTTGTATAACGGTATTCATGTATTACGAACGCAAAGCTATTTTGGCATCGTTTAAGGGCAAAGACAGACTTCCCTTTCGCGGATTTTTTTCCCTTCTCACATCATGAAATTGATCAATTTTTCACGACCATGATAAATTATAATATATATTTGTGTTTCGATATCTTCGAATGAGATTGCACTTCAATTGATGGAACGTTAAAAGACGGAAAGCTCGGCTTTCACGTTGAAGAGTATCACTTTTAATTTATTTGTACTGCTGCTGGTGCATAACGGTTTTGAGCAGTGGTGCTCAACTCAGCACGGCGCGCAACCCTTTGCCATGTTGGATTAGTAACCCTGCAGATGAACGTAACCGAAGGGTCTTGATATGTTTTGCTATCGTCGGTTAAGCTATACCCTTTTCAAGCCAACGGTTGCTCACTCTAGGTAGAGAAATCGCGCGTTTGCGACATCGAGTTGGATATCCCACTCTTTTCCTTAAGTTCTTAATTGTATTCTTTGTACACAATTAATAATAATTATATTTCATTACGGCTATACATATTTTATTGACGATGCCGGATGCACTATGGCCAGTATTTATAATCCATTCTTATTTCAAGACCATCTTAGAAGTAATATTTTATTGTTGCGGCTTTGTAATTGATGTATAACATCTTAAGACTATATTTGAGACAGTTTTAAACATAAAAACTAACTATGAATACTGGTTTATGTATTGTGTTACTAATTTTCATAGTCATCTTTGCAAAGATTTACAAGTATCTACTTATAATGACTTATACATTAAAGTGCGAATTAGAGCGTTAATTAAGTAATATATCCCATTTAAACAGTACTCGCGCTAGTCTCTGCTAATACCTTAACGATTTAATCTTCGACAATTTTATCTTAAGTACTGAAAATTTTTGAGATGCTAATCTAAGCATCTCGTGTGTGCTCATTTAAACGAATAAATTGAAAAATATCAACTGGACTTTCGAATCGTCAAGTGGGACACTGCGAGTTATCGGAGATGTGCGCGAATAGGTTTCGATTTCGTTGGCGACACATTATCGCGATAGATCGTTCTGCTCTTCGGCTCAAACTCGTTCAATATAATATGTACATACATACACAGAAAGGCGATGGCCGTAAAGTTCGCTTTTGATCGGATAAACACTCGATCATGGAATCCCACCACTTCGATGATTATCGGAAGGCGGCGAGCTGTCAGCAAGGAAATCAGACGACAAATCTGCGATAACAGAGCATATTTTAGATAAGGAAAACGCGCAATTAAAATGCTTTTCAAATGAGCCCTATGTGATTAAGCAACGACTTAATTCTTTTTAGCTTGTGTCTTCTTCTTTTTGATCTTTACCCTCCACTCTTTCATTTCCGTTTATTCCTTCTTCTTTTTTTTTTTTTTTTCAAGCCATTCGTATTCGATCAATTG